CACCAGCTACCACCCAAAATTTACACCAACCAAATAAAGGGAAATAAATAGTAATGGGTGAAGCAGAGCTTTAAAATAACACAAGTCATGTACACTCTCCTCTTACGAGCTGTTGTTAGTTTTTAATTTTTAATTTTTTCATTGACAGTTTGTACATATTTATAGGATACAATTTGATATGTTGATACTATATATGTTGCAAAATGATCAAATCAGGGCACTTGGTGTGTACATGATCTCATGCATTTATCATTTATTTGTAGTGAGAATATTCCAAAGCCTCTTATCTATTTTGTAAGGCACACTATCTCACTGTCAACCACAGTCACTCCACTATATAATAGAACATCAAAACGTATTCCTCTTATCTAATTGTAACTTTGTACTTGCTGTTGCTAGTTCTATCATTTTAACATACAGAGAAATGAACTTCCAGTTACAATAATCATGGAATCACAGCTCTATGTCTCCCACCTAAAAATGTTTCCTGCACAAAATGCAAGGAGGAGGTAGGTTTCAAAACTTATCTGCACTCTATTTTATGATCTTTGTTTTCATTTTCATATATGTGAGCATATTTCTATTATGTTATTAAAATGTGGTCATAATTGCTGCATATTTATTCCAAACTCCAAAACCTTCAAATCCTCTATCACTGAACAAACTGTTTCAAATTTCCCATTAATCTTATGTTAAAAATAAACAACCTTGTACATACATCTTGTGTGCATCTCTCGTTATTTCCTCAGAATACATGTGTACCTTTAGATCTAACATTTTTACTTTTAGGAAACTCTTCAGGATTTGATGTTGCCAAAGTGACTCTCAGTTTATCCTCTCACCAGTAATAGTACTTGAGTGTTTGTGGTATATATTGATATCGACTAGTGGAAGTTCTTCTTACCCCAACAAATACATAAATTATTATTCATATTTTTCTAAAGTTTAAATTTCATTATTATTCTCTCAGTTGAAATTTAGAAACAGTATTTTCAAATTACCTCAAATTCCACTGAAATGTATTACTAGAATTGCATTAAACTTACAAGTAAATTTGGATAGAACTATAGTTACTGAAATACTGAGTTTTAGCATTTGGGAATATTCGCTATCTCTGCTTTATTCAAATTGACTTTTATGTATAATAACCAAAACAGCGTGGTACTGGCATACAAACAAACATACAGACCAATGGAACAGAATGGAGAGTCCAAAAATACATCCACACATGTAGAGCCAACTGATTTTTGGCAAAAGTACCAAGAACATAGGGGAAAGGACAGTCTCCTCAATAAACAGTAGTGAGAAAACTGAATATCCGCATGCAGAGGAATGACATTAAATCCTTTTCTCTCATCACATACCAAAAACAACTCAATCTGACAGTTTTCATAAAACGCGTTAAAAAATAATCAACTCAAAATGGATGAGACTTTAAATGTAAGACCTGAAACTGGAAAAGTACTAGAAGAGAATACGGGGGAGGCTGGGCATGGTGGTTTATGTCTGTAATCCCCACGCTTTGGGAGACCGAGGCAGGCACATCACCGGAGGCTAGGAGTTCAAGACCAGCCTGGCCAATATGGCAAAGCCCCGTCTCCACTGAAAATCCAAAAATTAGCCAGGCACGGTGGCACACACCTGTAATCCCAGATACATGGGAGGCTGAGTCATGAGAATTGTTTGAATCCCAAAGGCAGAGGTTGCAGTGAGCCAAGATGGTGCCACTGCACTCCAGCCTGGGTGACAGACTCTGTTTCCAAAAAAAAAAGAAAGAAAAGAAAAAGAAAATATAGTGGAAAAGCTCCATGACATTGGTCTGGGCAAAGATTTTTTGGATAAGACTTTAAAAGGACAGGCAACATAAAGCAAAAACAGACAAATGAGATTACATCAAACTAAAAAGTTTCTACACAGCAAAGGAAACAATCAACAGACTAAAGAGACAATCTACAGAATGGGAGAAAATATTTGTAAACTATACATCTAATAGGGGATCAGTACCCAAAATACATAAGGTACTCAACTCAATAGCAAGAGAACAAATAACCTAATTTTTTAAATAAGCAAAAAGGGCCAGGCACAGTGGCTCACGCCTATAATTCCTGCACTTTGGAAGGCCGAGGTGGGTGGATCACCTGAGGTCAGGAGTTCAAGACCAGCCTGGTCAACATGGCGAAGCCCTGTCTCTACTAAAACATTAAAAAAAAATAAAAAATAAATAGCTGGGTGTGGTGGTGGGCGCCTGTAATCCCAGCTACTCAGGAGGCTGAGGCAGGAGAATCACTTGAAAACGAGAGGCGGAGGTTGCAGTGAGCCAAGATCATGCCGTTGCACTCCAGCCTGGGCGACAAGAGCAAAACTCCATCTCAAAAATAATAATTAAAATAAAATAAAATAGGCATAAAGCTTGAGTAGCTATTTCTTGAAAGAAAACATGCAAATGGCCAACAGGTATATGAAAAAATG